TAATCTCATTACTTTCTTCCCCTTCTTCCCATTCAGCCCGAACACCAATTTCATCAATCTCATCACTTTGATCACTGTCATTCCCAATCCCAACATCAATCTCATCACTTTCATCCCCTTCATCCCGAATATCAATCTCAACATGCCTTTCATCAATGTTCGGTTTAATTGAAGATGGATGAACTAAACACTCTTTTGAAATACTTCTCCATCACTGATTCACTGAGGGCCTGAGGCTGAGGAATTCAGGAGCATTCTCCAAAATAATTGGTAACATAAAACAACTTCACAAACAATTCAACAAGAAGGAACCAGACTTTCCGAACTCGTAATTAAACTCACCAACGTAGCAGCGCCTGCAATAGCCAATCAGCCAAATCCATTTTCGCCTCTGTAATCAACAATCCAGGGTCTGAAAATAACAAAATTTGAATGTTAATGATGTAGTAGAGCTTCAAAAGCATAAGGAACAAAGAATATAACCTTCGAAGTTCGAGCTTCAGAATCAGAGCGGCTAACCTTCGAAGTGCGAAACCTCCTGTCGAAGTTCAGATGGGGAGAGGCTGTGGTTGAGGCTGAGGAATTCAGACGAGGGAGGATGAGGCAGAAGCTGAGGAAGTGGAGGCAGAGACGGAGGCTCAAAGGTGGAGGCGGAGGCTCAAAGGCGAGAGCGAGACGGAGATGATGAATGAAATGGGGACGGACGCTCACGCTGGTGACTTGGGTTTTGTTTTGTTGGGTTGGGTTAGGCTGGGGTCTGGGGAGTGAGGAGTGGGAGCTGGTGAAGTGGGTTTAGTTTTTTTGGATTGGGGCTGGGGCTGAAAAAAATAATTTTAGCCCAAAAATTTAAAAAAAATTTAAAAAATATTTTTTTGTCAAAAAATTGGGGGGGTCCTGGCCCCCCGAGGACCCCCCCCTCCGCCCCTGGGTGGGGTGTGGGGTTAGTGGAGAATAAGATGAATAGTGCTTATGTTTTTTTTTTTAAAATTTAATTATTCATTGATTATAATTGTGTTTTTTGTTGAAAAATATAAAGTTACAATTTTATCTTTTTAGAATTAATAAAAATTGTGGTCAAAGTTAATTTTTTGGTCAACTAACAGTTTCCTTCTATTTAGATTTCAGTCGCGACATTTTGAAAGATTTGGTATTGTGAGTGGTATAAATGAAAGGCAAAGTCTGTTACTAAACGACATGTTTGATACCGTGGGTGCAATTTTCCCATTTATATATTCATGATCTTTCTATGCCTGTATCTTGAGGAAACGTTTGAAAAAATTAAAAAAAAAAAATTTAATTCCCGTTTTATTTTCTTAAAAATCAGATTTTAATAAAAGTGAATGAAATTTATAATCAAAAAATCCGTAAAAGTTATGAATTTGATATGTTAAATTAATTGTTAACTTTAATTTAAATTTTATCAACTTTTTTAACTTAATCAAATGGAAACTATAAATGTTGAAATGAGATATTTTTCTCGTGTTCAAACATGAAAAAGGTACAATATAGATACCAGCCAGCTAGGGAAGGTAGAACGACGTCGTTCTGTCAACGGTGCTCAATAATACTGCACAAGAAAATTAAGAAGCAAAAGAATGAGAGAAAAAGTAAAATATGGCCCATGCAGGTCTCGAACCTGCGACCTTCGCGTTATTAGCACGACGCTCTAACCAACTGAGCTAATAGGCCATGTTTATCTATTTTTTAAATAATATCTATATTAAGACAGTTTAGTTTGCTCAATTTTGAAACCTGCTTTCATGAAACCTGAACCTTTTGG